TTCATTATCACACCTTAGGGAGAAGGAATCAAGAAATCCACCTTTGCAAATATTTCTTCCTTCGACCTCTACCGGCTACAGACTGTATCCAGGCCCGGATGCATGGCCTAGGCTGGGAGCCTCAGTCAAGACCACCACTATTGGGGATTGGAGGGCTATATTTTTTGTTTCGTTTTAGGGATTCTTTTTGGATTATCTTGCGTCTTGCTGCTTTCTTGCGTTTCATTGCTTTTAACTACACTAATGCATTGCTTCTCTGTGATTTCTCAAGCTTTTCTTGCTTTCGTCTTGCTTTTCCTTGCTTTTCATTGCTTCTCCGTGATTTCTCGTGCTTTTCTTGCTTTTCCTTATTTTTGTGTTCTGTCTTGCTGTTTCCTTGCTTTTCATTGCTTCTCCGTGATTTCTCCTGCTCCTTGCTTTTCTACTGCTTTTATGTACCTTCCTGCTTCTTGTCTCCTTGTGGTGTATTGTTTCCTTTTTTGATTGCTTTTGCTTTCCATGGCCCTTGTTGCCGTTGCTGTTTGTTGGTTGGTTTTCAAGTCTTGAGTTTGTGTTGCTTTTCTGTTGCTTTTCCGGCTTTCTATACTTTTGCAACTTTTGTTGTTTATCGTTTGCTCTACTGGTTGTTGTTCTCTTTTTCGAGCTTTCGTTGCTTCTGTGGGCTTTGTACGTTCTTTGCATTACATCGTGTTTTGTTAATATGATGCACTTGGGTTGTCCGTTAAGGTGAAAAAAACACTTGTGTTATGTTTGTTCGTCCTGTGGCCGATTTTTTGGGTCTGGGCTTGAAATGCAAAATGGCCTCGTAGATGATCTTTTTTCTGTATGGAAACAGCTAGCTTTCCACTTCCACATGAGGATTTATAGGGAAACCACGGCTACAAAAGAAACTCCCCAAGCGAAACCCCAAAAACGTAATAACCGCACCCTTACCCGCCGCACTGTAAACAATGCTGATGAGAAAGGAAGTGCAATAATTTTGGCCTCCAGCAAATTAGCGGGAGTTTGAAGAACAGGGGAACGCTCTTTCACTTGCAACAAGACCGCTTGAAAGTATAGGGTCATCATCGAAAATGAAGCCTTTGGAGCTAAGGAAGAAACCCCCGCGAGAGGTTCCTTGACAGGTTGGTTAGAACATCGGTTGCATGTCTCGCGTCCTGAAAGATGACAGCTTTGGCACCGCAAAGCTTTTCGAAAGTCTTTCGAGTTCCAAGGCTAGTTGCCAGCTTGAGCTGATTCGCGGGGGGGCTGAAGCTTCCAAATGGGGGTCTGACAGTCTCCGCGTGGCTTTTTTCGAGGGCCCAGTTGGCTTGGTAGGTGGCAAGGCTTTGTATTGTGCTTGCAGAAGAAGCCGTTTCATGTCCGTCTCACCCTATTTTCGTGCAACTCGAACTCTGGAGTTGCGCAAGGAATTTGGCCACTGGATCTCTTGACAGAAGTTTCTGTGAAGTTCCTCATAAAAACACGATTCTTTTGGCATTTAGAACTCAAAACATCCCTGAGACCTACTACAGGATGATGGTGGAATGTGCTTTCCCTTCAGTAGCTTTCCTTGACTGTGATGTCATGCCAATTTCAACAGAGCTTATAAGCTCATCTCAGCAATGATGGAATCCATGGATTTTCTTAATCTTTGTAGCTCACACCGTCAACGGTGCTTGGTTAGGGGAGTCCAGCACAATTCAAGCCTGCAAGAGAGAGTCCCTTCTGCCAAATCCTTCACAACAACCAGCGAATGAATCTCTGTTTCACACATCAGCTGCAGATTGGGCCAAGAGACGTCTTGTGGTGCCAACTTCCGCGGTGCAGTTTGCCAACAGTCAACAACAACAGATAACAAAGCCATTTTCTGCTTCGGACCTTTGTTGTTTTCCCTGAGAGGTGTGGCATTTGCAGAAAGCACCTTCACTCGGGGCACGTTTTGGTCACGTGAATTGATGGACTTGACATTCCCTGCTCGATGGTTTCGATAGTTTCGATGGTTTCGATGAACATTGATTTCGCTTTTTTGGACACCTGAGGATTTTGATTTGATCAATTTGGAACCAACCGCGTTGGCCTCGTGAGTACCACGTCTCGCCTCTTGGGCCTTCCTCATCTGCGGCGTCTCTGGTCCGGGGGTTTTGGAAGGCCCTGGAGTGGACAGTTTGGTTACAACTTAGACTTAAACGTGAGGAGACATGAGGAAACTCAGGTAGGCTTCACTCAAGTAGAGTATGCAGCGATGCTGATTGTGTGGGGTCAAGTGGGGCAAAAATGGCAGGACCTTTGTATGGGGTGATAGTCGCCGTGAGAAGTGCCAAGGACCCAGGGTGCGCGTCAAAATTTGTTGGTACTTTGCCGTCCCCAACTTGCTTTGTTGACCGAACCGGCGAAGCTTGAGCGAAGCACGGCTCATGGACGAGTCTTTTATGATTTGTTGCTCCTTTGTTGCCACCCAAGAGCACGGAGACGCCAGCTGAGCAGCCATGAGTGGAGCGTCGAGCTGTGATAAGATGGCACGCTTGGGACAGCTCTGACATGGCACGGCACGGTGGAAAAGAGTTCTCGCGACACTTGGCGGCCGTGGCTGAGTACAGGCTCGGTGTCCAGGCAGTGACCCGACAGCAGATTTGCATCAGCTAGGCGCGCGTCTGCTGAATATCCACCCTCACTGTCCAGTCGTGGTGCCACGCCTGCCACACTCCTGAGACCATGGAAACCAAACAGTTCCATATCCATGGGCATGGAGCAGGAGGATTCTCCTCCACCTTCTTGGCAGAGTGTACCACTGGAGTCCCCATAGTCCCCATCTCCACTGACAGGACATTTGCAGCCTGGATTGCATCCGGTCTCTGGGCCTTGGGATCCAGTGACAGTGCCTGGCAAGGACAGATCGGGACATTCTGATGGGTGCAGGTCCGCTCTGACATTGTCAGCCAGAGAGAACTGTGATGTGCTAACATTGGTCGACTAACATTGAACTGACTAACATTGAACATGTTGGATCCGACAGAATCCAGGTTCTTGGCAGTTGGAACAACCTTGAAGACTTCGAATGTGTAGCATGTTTCCCTTGGCCGTTTCCTATGCCGATATCCTGTTATGGAAGAATGAAGTGAAACGGTAAACGTTGGTTGTCCAAAGACTTCTGGGTCCCCCAACCTCATCTGATCTCTGAAAGGACAACGTAAACCACCCATTTCGGACAGCCCAGCCGAATCCCACCAGGATGTCTACGGCAAGAAGCCGGATCCCACCAGGACAGTGCATGTGGCAGGGTCCTGGTGTTGAGGAGGGGAGCCAGCGTCAGTTTTGCTTACAACTCAGTTAAGTGTGAGGTGAAGAGTGTTTTCCAGGTGTTGTTCTGTCCCTCCCTCTCTCGCTCTCATGCCACAAGTCGACATTGATGAGTGTTGCTCTTTCTCCACTCCTTTGATTGTTGTGTTGTCTATGGGCCAACAGGGCATAAGGTGCCAAGCATTTCATTGTAATGATTGTAATGCATTGTGGGAGTTGCGTTTTGATTGTTTAGTCTTTTTGTGACTGGACCTTAGCCCAAGCTTTGAAACGCGAAGCCAATTGCCTGAGCTCGCTTAGCTGTGAGCTTGCTTCGTGCCATTGCCATGGCCTACCAGTACCCTGCCACGACAGTGGATGCGGTCACGCCCGGCACCTACACGATGTCGCCTGTGATGGTGGATGC